GCTAAATACGAGAGAGTAACCAGAATTCCGTTGTATATATTCTTACTTTGGAACAATTTCTACTCTCACATCTAAGCAGCAGAGTGTAAAATGATGTCAGTGTCTCACTGTTCATACACTACAAAAGTTTTACCGTTGTTTCGTGAGATTAAGGTCATGTTGTAGTCAACTTGCTGCTCAGATCTAAAGCTAATTTGGAACGTTGGGAGTCTACTTGCTCATCAGGAGCACAGATAGTCTATGGATTATCAGTCCACGAGCGAATCAACAACGGTCCGTTAGGAAGAACGTGAGAATGTTGACCAATGAACAATCACAGGTTTTATAAGCAGTATGCCGAGAACGGGTATCGAGGTCCTCAAAAAGAATGTTGATTGCAAACGATCTTAACTACTTACCATAGTCAAATTTCAACCTAATATATCAAAATTTTGATGGTCAAGAGTATCATAACTCTTTTATGTTTTATCTGGTTTTCTGATTTTGAGTTTAGGGGGTTGGTTAGACTCTGCGGACGGCTCTCGATAGTTGTGGGGCTCTCAGGATTTATTGAATCGAATCGTGTTGCTATTTTAACTGAATTGGATTGTAAATTTCTTGGGGTACAGGGGGAGAGTTCTGACAAATGATAATTTATATGCGATTGGAACAAAAAGGAAACTATTTGCAGCTACATTTACACTGTTGGTGAATCGTTTGTTGAGATAACCCACGATCACGCTGGAGCGTAGGTGGATAAAAATAAGACAGACTGTTATTACATGCTTTTGAGTGAAATACTAATAGAATAGAATGAGTATGGGGTAGATTAAAGGAAGGAATAAAGTGATTATCATTCGTAAAAGCTAGGGATCGGCATTATTATTCCTCTAAGGTAAGGATCAGCAGAAGTGGAGTCAAAAGATTATCCACTGCGAAACGGTCCATTTGCTAATAGGCGAGAAGCGGAGATTGTACATAGACAATGTACTCGTTTGTTTTGTTGAACACGATAACCTTGTGCATTCCTGCTTTCCACATATTAAAATAAGATTCCGTTGTTGGGTTCTGTGTTCTGATTTCATTCCGAGTTCTAGTGTTGGGTTGGACTATTACTGTACGAATTTCGATACGTACACGGGTTATTAGTCCGAGTGCGAATTACAAAACAAACCCTTCAAATTTAAATTTCGAAACTTGTTCAGATGATCTTCAGCACCACGATATCTGACACGTAACGATCAACTTGCGTACAACTACCCCCCCTGCCATATATATTTACAATAGCAACCTTTAGATGACAAACAATAAAGCGTTCATGTACACTTTATATATATATAAATATATGTATCTATATCACTGGATCACATTAGGCTCAGTAGTCTACAAAAAAGTACTCTTGCTCAACATTAGAATAGCCTCAATGTCAAAGTTCTCCGGAACAAGCAAATAGTAATTTTGCATCCATTTTTGGATTAGTCGGTTTCAGGCCCCGATAACAATAGCTCGTACGGTCGGATGTTTTAGTTCATTATCCTCAATTTTTCGTCTATCCAATCAACCAACACTTGACTTTTGCATTAGATAAGTAATTTAGACAGATATGGCCGACTTCAATGATGTCTCCAAAGCATTGTTCTTGCCTCGCGGGAAAATCGGGTGAGTGAAGACGAAATTCGTCGTCGCGTGCTGGGTGTGGATAGTCGTTCTCTAACGCAAGTAATCGTTCTACACCTCCACCGATGACTCTGTCATGTTTTGCGTATGCCTGCCAATTGGCTACCTTTCCGTGCTCTCTTCGCACGTGCCGGGCAAGGCTGGAAGAAGCGCCGTGGCGGTCAAATCATGACATGACGAAGAGGTGTGAAGAAGCTGGCTTTAGCTTTGGCTTCGGTTGGTGCTGCCCCCATTCCAGTTTGGGACCCAAAGGATGAGGATCGTCGTTGGTTAGAGACGCTAAGA